TATAAAATGGAACATACATGTGACAGCAGGTAAATACACTGAAGATCAGGCACAATGACACCATAAGGATGATGAAAACACACATTTTCACACATACAACTGGTACGTAAATATGGACAAATTCAATGGTTCTGGCAGTACAAAAATTGCTAATCAACTATTATACTTTTTTTCCTAGTACTTAATTCATAATATACAATCTTTTTTTTTTTCTCTACTTTCTTCTCGATCAATGTTTTCTGCCATCATTCACGTGGGAATTTTGAGCAAAAGTCTATGAAATATGTATATTACACAGATAGCAATAATAACAGGTCTTCTGATATATCAATCTGAACTATTTTTACAATAAACAACACATTCAAATAAAAAAAATATAAAGGATACATATCCACATATTCTCTTCATAAAAAAAAAAAAAAAAAAAAATAAGTATTGAACAAAAAAGAAAATAATACAAAATAAAATACCGTACAGCCTGTTCAGAATAACAAAAAATATGAGCTCAGACAATTTGCAATGTGTGAATCCCAGGAAAAAAAAAAAAAAAGACTGACCACAAGCACCCTTATAGTCTTATAAGTTTTAATAGTTAACCATCTGTAATCATGACTAGTTATCAGATATACAAAATAAAAAAAGAGCATAATCATGCAGGCCAGAGTAAGAAGCCAAAAGTCCACATAATCTGGATGGTTAGATAGATAGATATATTTATTCAATGTTTATTTATACATATGCAGCGTACATGTATAAAAAAATAATAATAATAAAAAGTGTACCTGTAGAAGTGTATGTGTGTGTATGTACATGTATATGCATATGTGTGTGCATTTATAAATGACTGTAACTACACTGGAGGAGGAGAGGAGAAAAAAAAAAAAAAAAAAAAGTCCAAAAATGGGAGTAACAACCTCATAACAGAACAGAGTCCTTTTTCAAAAACAAATTGTAGTTGTAATCATTCAACATTTCAGAATCACGACAAATGACTCGCACGTGGGATTTTTTTTTTTTTTTCTTTATTGATTTTTTTATTCCTGAAGTCTATATTAATGTGAGTGGTTGGTTGTCTGCTTTGGATAAAATAAAACAAAAAAAACAAAAAAATATATCCACATTGCAGGATTTTTGAAGTTGTGTACTGGTGAAGGGAGCTTAATAAATACCTTTTTTTGTTTGTTTGTTTGTGGAGCAAAAGTGTGACAAATTCCACAATAGCTATACAATAACAACCCTTATGTCAGGTCATGGTCAAATTTCAACACTACAATTTATTATTCATTAATCTTCTCTGTTTGAAGTCCTCCATATACAAATTTTGTCTTGTTTGCTGGACAATTAATATATCAATACTTCTAAAACAGGGAACTTGTGTTTAAAAGTCCTCCTAATAAACATCAAAATACAGATTATTACATTACATTCTGGACCACAAAATGATGATCTTTTTAACCTCTGGCAGTGAATTTAACATGAATATTAAACTGTCTTAAGCTCTTCATATTCCACAGTAATGCCTTAAGTAGAAATTGTTCACTATTCGTTTTGAGGAACCAAAAACACATCCGCGTGGAAACTCTTGACTCCTCGAGATTATTTAAGTTTATATATCACATCACTTTTTTTTTTTTTTTACAAAATTTGTAATCAAATAAACTAGAAATGTTTTTTTCCAAACTTTGATTCTCTATCGACATATATCAGAAATCCAATCTCTGTCACAGAAGATGAATCAATTATAAAAATCTACAAAATATTTACACAGTATACTATATGTCTCACTTCATTTTCTTTTTTGTCTTCTAAACACTTACAAAACATCAATTTAAAAGTAAGATTTGGCCTGTCACAGATCTTAGTATGTCCTCAATCAGAAGACATAACGAGAGACACTGTGGGAGAGCTAGAAGTACCCTCACTACAGAACTCATTTTGTTTTTTTAAATATACCCTTTGCTTCACCTCTGACAAATGTACAAAAAAAAAAAAAAAAAAAAAAAAAAAAAATGCCGAACATTAACACAGTCCGGATAGAAAACAAAAACGAAATGGTGATACAACAGGAGGTAAAACGACAAGCGTGGAGATTCAGTCATGCAGATCTGGATTAGGGGAAGGGGAAGTGCAAAGGTTTGGGAGAGGGGGTGACAGGAGATAGGGGGAAGGGGGGTAGGGGTAGGGGTAGGGGTAGGGGTATAGGTATGGGTAGGGGTAGGGGTAAGGGTAGGGGTAGGGGTAGTGATAGGGGTAAGGGGTAGGGGTAGGGGGGTGTGGGTGTGGGTGTGGGTGTAATTGTGGGTGGGTAGAAGTGGGTAGATAGGTAGGGTGTGTGTGGGGTAGGGGGGGGGGGGGGCAAAATGCCACTATTACAGTGAAGGAAGTGAATGTGATGATGAAGACCTTTGACTTTGTATTTAAAAGTCTGTAGCTTCTTCAATAACCAGAGCAACAATTGCACCTTGGCAAAATTATACAAACCTATTACACCTAACTACAAATTTATATACAATTTTTACAAGCATGATAAAAAGGAAAACACTGATCATTAACTTCAACCAAAGCTGAAATCTCTAGCATCACATTCAACATCATTTGCCATAATAACGGAAGGTACGGAGAGATGACTGAAGTGTACAGATAACTGGTTAAACATATCTGCTAACCAGATTGAGAGAGGGGGAAAAAAAATACATATATATCTATGAAAGGCATATTCCTAAAAGGTTTTGTTCATTTTCTTCCTTAAAAATAATCATTTAAAAAAAAGAGCAAAAAAAAAAACAAAAACAAAAATACAAAGTCTAAAGAAAAAAAAAGAGGAGCTAATCTCATAAGATCACTACAGTACATTTAACAATAACAACACATATCTTTGAGTAGAAAGGAGTGTACAGATATCTAGCCATACCTCACAATATACATTAACAATTAAGACGACTCGAGCCTTCCCAGGAGCCTAAATCGTCACACAAGCATGCCACTAGGATTCGCAAGTGACCTGTTCAAAGTGCCACAGACAATTGCAGTATTTCAGTTCAAAGCATTTAGCATTGTGTTGGTATCAAGTATTTCAACAGTGGCCCACACAGCTCAGCCAATGAAGTCTTTTCTCTCACTGCCACAGCATTGAATATCAGTGCTCTTGGCTCAAGAATCCTAATTCCTCATCACCAAACAACTGATGCAAAGTTAAGACGAATCCTGACGAGATATAATATATATTTATATATATATATACAAACACACACATACACACACATATATAGCTTGGTATTACCTTCATTCCTTGTAAATAGGTATCACGGATATAAGAATGGTCGTTTAGAATAACAATCGCTTAATCATGCTGTCCTTCAAAAGCAGCTTTCTTTTGCAGGGGAGAGGAGGAGCAGCTAGAGGTAAAGGAGAAGTGGAAGAGAAGTAGAGGAGAGGTACAGAAGAGGTATGAAGAAGGATAAAATACATGAGCTAAGAGGGAGAGGAAAGGATGAAGGAAAAGGAAGAAGAGTTAAGAAATAGGGGTGATAAAGGGAGAAGACAAGAGGAAGCATGGGAAGGAAGAGAGCAAAATGGATGAGAAAGAATGAAAAAACAGAAGGGAAACAAGGAAAGAGGAAGGAAGAAGAATAGAGGGGAGATGAAAGGGGAAAAAAAGGAAGGAAGGGTTGGGGGTGAGTGAGCGAGTGGAAAGAGAGAAGTTCATATTTCAAAAAACCTAAATCACAGCTGATGTTGAAAAGTTAGATGATGAAAGTTATATGTAATGTGAGTATTTAATTATCACAGTTTATATAAAAAGATGATTCAACGGATGTCTGAGTAAAGTGGATGACTTCTCTTGTGTCTTCCTTTCCGTCGTCACTGAAATGATCTTTCCGTGTGTTTCCTTTGATTTAAAAAAAAAAGAATAAGAAAAAAATAAATAAATAAAAAAAAAATTAAAAAATATATAAAAGCACCGTTAATGAAAGGTACATGTTTAGGCTTCAAAAACCACTCTGGGCATCGTCAGGAAAATACCTTTCCCGCAGCGAAGAAAAACCCTTCACGCCTATTTCAAAACGGCAAATTCTTCTCGGTCAATTTTCACAATAATATGGGGAAAAAAAGAAGAAAATTATGATAAAATCATTTTGTGAGATATCTAAGTAGCCATCTACACGTTATGAGTAATGTTGAATATCTTCATTATTAATTTCTATATCTTCCTTATAAACTTCTTATAAATTTCTCAATTAATATCTTCCTTATTAATTTCTCTGGTTTAATCTCATAAAATATCAAAGAGAGGTAAAACCAAGCTACAAACAATAATAATAAAAAAAGTAATAATAATAGTAATAATAATAATAATAATAATAATAATAATAATAATAATAATAATAGCAAAAGTAATAAGAATAGTTAGTGTAATATAATGATAATAATAGTAATATTAATAATAATAAAAAAATAATAATAATAGTAATAATAATAATAATAATAATAATAATAATAATAATAATAATAATAGCAAAAGTAATAAGAATAGTTAGTGTAATATAATGATAATAATAGTAATATTAATATCCATGACAATAATAATAACAATATAAAATAATAATAATAATAATATAATAATAATAATAATAATAATAATAATAATAATAATATAATAATAATAATAATAATAATAATAATAATAATAATAATAATATAATAATAATAATAATAATAATAATAATAATAATAATATAATAATAATAATAATATAATAATAATAATATAATAATAATAATATAATAATAATAATAATAATAATAATATAATAATAATAATATAATAATAATAATATAATAATAATAATATAATAATAATAATAATATAATAATAATAATATAATAATAATAATATAATAATAATAATAATAATAATAATATAATAATAATAATATAATAATAATAATAATAATAATAATATAATAATAATAATATAATAATAATAATAATAATAATCATAATAATAATGGTGACAAGAAAATCAATAACATTATAAAATAAGGAAAACTTTCAACTACAAATCATCTTCTGACCACAGTAAGATAATAAGAATACAAAAATGAGAGTTTCTATTCACTTTTCAAGTTTCTATAAATACTCAAATACCATAACAGATCGATACAAACTGTGAACCTAAATCAGATCATAGAAAAACATTTCTCAACACAAGAGAATCCATCAGACAATTCATAATCCTTTTCTCTCCTCAACTTTCCTTTCCAAGCTTTCTCAGTCGCGGCCAAAACACGCACATACACCATAAAAAAATTTGCCAATAAATACAAAAATAATAACAATAAACTGCAATAAACATCGGCCGGAAATCATACGGAGTGACTGGCCGCGGCGTCCATGTGCGCTTGCAGGATCTGTGTGAATGTGCGTTTGTGGGCGGAGGTTCGGACGGATGCAATGGCTCGGAAGAGAGCGTCTGCGCCGAGGTCCTCTGGCAAGCGGGTGAGGAACTGAGCCGCAGTGGCAGTGCACTCCTGGTTGGTCAGGACCGTTTCGTATAGTTTTAGGATGCCTGTAAAAATTCAACGGGAATAAGCAAGCTGATATACACTTAACTCTGCAGTGCACTTATTGGTCTTAAAAACTTAAAATGCTTTTGCCTGTCATTAATACTAGAAAAATACATATAAAAAGGTATGTTGTCACAAGATGAATGCTAATGATTAAAATATTGTCGCTGTGTTCCATTAGAAAGTAGCTTTTTAATGAACTGCAGAAAACCTACAATACAGAAAAAGAATTAAGAATTAAAAAAAAAAAAAAAAAAAATCAACTTACATATCCCAAAAATCAACTACTTCATGAATCTCTTACAGACCCCAACTAAAAAAAAAAGAAAAAGAAAAAAACAAGAGCTCACACACCAATGGCAGCTCTAAGCAGAAACTCCTCTCCGTCTCTGAGATAAACGTCCCATATTCTGACAGCAGCATCAATGGGCAATGGCCGCGAGAACACCGTCAACAGCCAGTCCAGGATGTAGAGATCTGGCGTGACCTCAATGTTCCGTAAGTGCTCCGCAAGGTGAGGGAGGTTGATGGCTAGGAGCTCCTCGAAGGCGTTGTAGTACGCGCACATCTGGAGGGAGGATCTTGGGAGTTAGGTCACTTTGTCTCTCTTGTTCGTCCAGTGTAATTACAATTGTGAAACCTCTGCTAAGTGGCTGTACCTGCTATTTGTGATGTATGAAACTAGATGAATTATCAATACAATTCCTCTTGGAGATACATATGCATATATCATCAAATTTTAGCCTCAGGGAAATCTAAAACAAAATGTGTTTCATACCTCAAAAGGCAACAGCTGAAGAACATAATGTTTTAAAATCTAAATATGATAAATAAAAAAAGGGAGAAAAATAGAAGGAAATAAAAAAAAAACAGATATACACAGGAAAATGGTCTCACCACTGGCTGATCTACTCTGAAGAACGCCATGTGTGCTGGCCGATTGAGGAGGTTAGAGAACGCGATAAATGCATCGGTCTCGTCCATGTTGAGCAGCAGAGTGGCCGCTAGAAAGGACATGCCCTGTACATAGCCAACATCGGGACGGTAGCAGGCATAGGCCCCAAGGATGTTGTGAAGGGGATCATGATAGGGTCCACCCTGGAAGACGAAATTTATTGTGAGTCTTGAGAAAGAGATTCAGATCCCTTGTCTAGGTCTGCATTTCAAGAGAAAATTCTTTTTAAAGAGTTAGAAGCTAATGACTATTCCACGAATCAATGGCTCCAAGACATGCTCTACTGGTTTTCCCACCTTACATTTTTCAACAACAAAAATTATGAATATCAAGAAGCCTTTTATCCAAACACAAATTCTTACACCTAACTAAAAACTAGATACAACCATAAAAAAAAAAATTCTTACCATTATACACAAATATATCAAACATAAACACAAACAAACGAACAAACACACGCACACACGCACGCACACACACACACACACATCAGCAAGTATACATACACTTTTATAAGTATATCCACACCCACACCCACACCCCACACACAAGCAAAACCACAAAAAACGAGTTCTTCCTCAACTCGCCTTCTGGAAGATACACAGGTTGGGAAAGGTTCTTGACACATCTAGCCTTATGAGGTCAATCGTGGCTTCCTGGTCCCCACAGTCACTCGTCACGTCCTCTTGACTGGCCATGCTCCCGCACTCACTTAGGCTGACCAGCTTCTCTACCGACCTGTGAATGATGCAACATGTCTAGTCTTAGGGTCACTGTAATGTTTTTTTTTAAACTGTTGCTATCTCATTATATCATAATTAATCAATCATTAGTTACAACCATTCTCAGGAAGTCATTATCTTTCTTTTTAAGTATTTGATGTATATCAAAATATCATCTTATGGCAAAACAAATGGTACACAATATGAAAAAAATATAAAATATTAGAAAATGCTACAATATAAAGATGAAAAAGTAAAGACACTTATATTAACAAACGCATTATTAGTCATTATCTTGGTAAACTACAAGTCTAAGGAAAAGTTCAGTCTTTATGAAAGACCTATGATATACATATACATATATATACATATATATACTTATACATACATATACATACTTATATATGAAAGCTAATAAAATAATCTTGATGGCTATAACTGTGAACTATCGTATACATTTGATCAGAGACAAATCTTGCATCACAGTTGGAAACCCACCATCAATCAAAATAAGAACCAATTTAGAGGGCTAAATTCAATCCCTTTACAAACCCTCAACATTATCAAAGTTCAAACAAAACCAATGCTAATACGATCACGATAACAGCAGCGACATTACCTCTGGACCATGATGGTGTACAGCTGTGGGGTTATGTTGAGGTCATTTCCAATCGCCAGCTTCCACACCTTCCCCCTCACGCACGACGGGAGGCCCTGCCACCACAGCTCTCGGCACTTCTTGTGTGTGTGCCTGGAAAATCATGGGGTGTGAGGACAGGGCTGTACAACAGAGACTATGTAAATGAACAGAAAAAAAATCTCACACATGTTCTCTTGGCTTGTCTGTATTCTTGGATACAAAATACAAAATGACATTCATTTTCTTTTTAGCCCACTGATGCCAAAGGTGGAGTGACAGATGTGCCATGTCCACTGAGATTTTAAGTTAATAAATTTTGTACATACAAAGCTAGCTCCATAGGTGTTTAATCACCCGGGAGTCAATTACTAGTCCTGCCCATCACACCTATTTACCCTTTTCCTTGATTTGTGTGAAGATTCTTTTTCATTTCTTGTTAATAGCAGTGTTAATAACACTATAATAATCAGTGTCAATAATAACAGTATCACTATTGTTACCATTAGAAAACCTCATCATCAACTTGCCATCAAGTGAGGCCACACAGAGCCTATTGGCCGCATAGAGCCTACTAAGTGACCCCTAATTGGCTACAAACTTGCATTCTGTTTGGACATGTTACCAAAAGGAAGAGATTACTGAAAATCCTAATAAAAAAAAAAAATCCCACTTACATTGTGTCCCATTTTGGTAATATTTCAACATTCCAGGTTGTGACTGCCGCTGCCATCTGCTCTTCCAACCTCTGCTGGCTGGCTTGAGCTTTCTTCCGTTCCTTAGCTTCTTTTAACTCTGAAATGGAGGCCAGAGGTTCCTTATCTTGTCTCATTTCTTAGACAGAAAATAGGACCTAGGGAGGGATGAGGGGGGGGGGGGGTATTTTGAGAACTCATAATGTGCCATGAGAGTAGCACTTGTAACATGAATATGACATTACCCCACACATAACAAAACTAAGTTCGCTAAAAGAACAATACAAATTTAACTATGATATCTGCATACTAATTCATAAATTAATTCAAGGTTTTTGTCCACAATGGCTATCATGGGTAACCCAACTTGTATCCAAACAAGACAGGTAAACTCTCTATATGTCAAAAGATCATGTACAGACAAAGGGGCACAGAGATACTAACACACAGACCCACCAATGATCTGGAACCAATTACCTCTAAACATGAGAAATATACTTTCAAAAAGAATATTAAAGGAACACCTTTTAATTCATCAATGACATTAGGTTTCAAATCATAAGCAGCAAGACTTATATTGCACTACCATTAATTCTACATTTATCTTTTATACATATATACTGCAAAATCACTCACCCACCTCTCACTCACTCACCCTGGGAGATAACAACACTCTTGCTTCCTGTAATATCACACTTTTCAATTTCTCTAACCACACCAGTACTAGGAATCAATCAAACAAGTGCAATTAAATCAAGATTCGAGAGAAAGTGCAATAACGCAATTATTATCTGGCCACACAGGCTTACACATGGTTTCCTGCTGCTAAGGTAATAGGAAGGGGGAGAGGGGAGGGGAGGGGAGGGGAGGGGAGGGGAGAGGAGGGAAGGGGAGGGGAGGGGACGGGAGGGGAGGGGAGGGGAGGGGAGGGGAGGGGAGGGGAGGGGAGGGGAGGGGAGGGGAGGGGAGGGGAGGGGAGGGGAGGGGAGGGGAGGGGTGGGGTGGGGTGGGGTGGGTTCGGGAAGTGGTGAAGGGGGAAGGGAGAAGGGGGAAGGAGGAAGAGGGATGTGGGAACAGTGATGGGAAGAAGAAAGGGGAAAGGAAAAGTAAGGAGAAAGGGAAGAATTAAGGAAGAAGGGGGAGGGGAAAAACAGGGAAAGGAGAATGGGAAAGAGGGGAGAGAGAATGGGAAGCAAAGGAAAAGGGCAGAGAGAAAGGGGAAGGGAAAAGGGGGGAAGGGAAAAGGGGAAGGAGAATAGAAAGGGAAGAAAGAAAGGGGGTGGAGGAAAGGGGATTGGGAAGACGAGTAAAAAGGGAAACAAGGAAGGGGGGAATGAGTAAGTAGAAGGAAGAGGTAGGGAGGTGAAAGGAGGAAGGGAAACGGGAAAAAAAGACAAGAGGGAGGGGAGGGGAGGAGACGAGAAAAAGGAAAATGAGCAAGGTAGCAAAAGAGAAGAAGAAAAAACGGAAAGGTAAAGAGGAAAAGAGGAAAACTGGAAGCACATGGAATACATACAAGAATAAAAAAAAACTGAAAAAGATGAAAAAGGAACAGAAAAGGGAAAAAAAAGGAAAGAGGAAAGTCAAACAGACGCGAAAGAATAGGGGAAAGAGAGAAAGGCTAATTCCACACACACACCCCAAAAAAAGAAAACCACAATGAAAAGCGACAAAAAAAAGAAAAAAAAAAGCCAACGGAACAGAACAGCCGATGCGACTCCGCCACAAATAACGACCGAGCAGCCCCGCCCACCTTTCTTCTTGGCGGCCGATACCATTTGTTGGTACTCCTGCTTGTGCTTCAGTTGCTCGTAGGCCGTCTTGGCAGGGAGACTGGTAGGCCGGTTTTCCATGATGAGGCCGGCGCTTCCCGCTTCCAGTTCGCAATTCCGAGCCTGCGGAGGTGAAACATTTAGCTCAAGAGGAGGGAAGGGATGGGTGAGAAGATCGTGGAATTTAAGACATATGGCTGCGGTCGAGTCTTTCTGCGTTTGGGTGAAGAATACTCCCTTGGTGTATGTGCATGAGAGTGGGAGAGAAAAAAAAGGGGAAATCTAATTTTTTTGGTTTGTTTAGTTGCAGCATAAATAGTTTTATAAGGACATAGTAAATAAACAAACATATTATATGCACACCTGCGCTCTCTCGCTCTCGCTCTCTCTCGCACATGCACATGCAGACGCTCTCCCTCTCTTTCTCCCTCACCCTTACTCTCCCTCTCCCCTCCCTCTCCCTCTCCCTCTCCCTCTCCCCCCTCCCTCCCCCTCTCCTTCTCCCCCTCCCTTCCAATCTCCCTCTCCCTCTCCCCTCCCTCTCCCTCTCCCCCTCCCTCTCCCTTCCCCTCTCCCTCCCCCATCTCCCCAACCCACCTGGAGGTCGGGCGAGCGAGGCGGCCTGAGGGGCGGGCGCGAGAAGATCCTCCAGGCGCCGCCCCCGGGGGAGGACGCAGACGAGGACGACGACGCGGGCGACGACGAAGGCACGGGCGAGGACGACGCCGACGACGAGGATCCGCCTCCGCCGCCGCCGTCGCTGCCGCCGCCGCCGCTTCCGCCATCTTTGCTGTGTCGCCACGAGAACAGGTTCCTGCAAGACGAAGGGGGGGAGGGGGGTTAATGAGGGTAATCAGAGTGTTCAATAAAGAAATGACGAAGAAGAAAAAAAACATCAGGTAGTTCATTAATTAAACTGTTAAACGACGAAGAGAAAAAACTGCGCCATTTAGTTCATCTAAATAAACTATTTAACGATGCAGAAAAATATACCTAACATATAAATGCAAAATTTCTCTTCCAAAAAACACAAATGATACAGATAAAAACGTATAATCTGGTAATTCATAAAAGCTGTCTATATAACGAAGAAAAAAGAAAATACAGATATATTAACTTTTTTTCAGAACACCCAAATACATAGATGGATATAAAGACATAAATATGTATCATCCGGTAACTTTCTAAGCCGTCTAAATAACGAAGAATAAAAACTCGATATACATGAACTTTTTATTCAGAAAACACAAAGTGCAAGACGGAGATAGATTGATAGATAGATTGATAGACTGATAGACAGACGTAGAAAGATTCCATAAGTACTCACACATCCAAAATATAGAAATCGACAAATCTTTAAAATTAGGCATTACTCATAATCAGACATAATTATAATTCAGTGAATAATTATATCAAATAATTAAGTCGTAAAACAGAGCAAAAAAAAAAAAAACGAACACGGAAGAAAGCCATCAGTCAACAACAAATAAACAAATAATCCTGGAAATTCCAAAGAAAAGAAACAAACTAAGCAGAAATGTCTTGTCCCGTTTCCATACACGTATGACACTCGCCTTCCACTACATTTCCACATCACAATACATCACACATCACATAATGCATCACACAAATTACATACATCACAGACTTCACACGATACATCACACACATCACAAAATACGTCACACACATCACAAAATACGTCACACACATCACAAAATACCTCACAAAATACGTCACACACATCACACAATACCTCACAAAATACGTCACACATCACATAACATCACTTACATCCACACGCTATAATCGACCCTGCTTCTATGACGTCATCAACTCTTAATGTCGTCCTGCATCCAGCTGTGATTTATGCTAATGCCATTGCGTAATTCCGTTTGTGAAAGGCATGAATTATGGATCACGAATGTATCAGTATGTAACCGAAAGAGAGGGGGGAGGGAGGGAGGGATAGATGGAGGGAGGGGGAGGGAGGGATAGATGGAGGGAGGGGGAGGGGGGGAGGGAGGGAGAGAGGGAGGGAGGGAGAAGGAGAGGAGAGAAGAGGGAAGGGTAGGGGGGATGGGGGAGAAGGAGAGGAGAGGAGGGGGAAGAGGAAGAGGAAGAGGAAGAGGAGGGGAGAAGAATGTGAGAAGGAGAAGAGGGAGGGAAGGGTAGGGGGTGAGAAGTGGAGGGACTATGTATGTATGTATGTATGTATGTATGTATGTATGTATGTATGTACGTATGTATGTATGCATGTATGTATGTATATACACACACGACACGAATATTAAATAAAAGCACTACAATACCACTCCCTCCCTGACCCTTTCCACTACCCCCCTCCCCCCTCCCCCCCCAACTCCGCTCTTCCCTTTTGCAACGAAATGCTTGCACACACACTCTGCGGTAGCGTAGATAACATCCGTCCGGATCAGCGGTTCCGAAGTGTCTCAACTGCAATGACGTAAATAGCAGGTCCCTCTCCCCTCCCCCCTCCCCCTCCTCCTCCTCCGCCTCCCCCTCCTATTACCCTCTGCCTTTACTCTTTTACCGCACCTCCTCTCCCTTCCTCTCTCCCCTCCCTCCTCTCCCTTCCTCTCCCTCCCCTCCTCTCCCTTCCTCTCCCCTCCCCTCCTCT